CTCTCTCTCTCTTTCTCTTTCTGTCTCTCTCTCTCCGTGTCTCTCACCCTTTTCCCCCTTCCCTCCCCCCTCTCTCTCCCTCTCTCTCTCCTCTCCTCTTTTGCCACCTCTCCTCTTCTCTCTCTCCCCCTTCTCTTTACCTCTCTCTCCCCTACCTCCTAATGGAAATTATTTAACCTGCAGACAGAAACATTGCACACCATTAGGAGCCACTACAACTTTAACTCTTTAAATACATAGAAGATTTTGTACGTCTAGCAACAGGTCAAAGGCAATGTTGCGGCAGAGTTTTACTGATCTTGCAGCACTATAAGGTCATATTAAGTGCAGAAAATTAGTGCTGTAGCAAAACAGTAACTAATATTTAAATACACAGACAAATAAAGGAGGAGCGATCAGGGCAATAGATATGTGACAGGAAAGAAGGAACAGACCACACCAGAACACCCGCTATTCACCCATCAGGTGGAATGATCAAATTACTGTCTAGATAAATTTGCTTTGGTACAAAGTATCTTTTTTCTTCTCTCTTTATTTTCTTTTATTTTCTCTGTTTTATCTTTAAAATCCTTTTTTTTCGAATTCATACCACAAAATTACTGGTCCCCTCTACAAAATACATTTTTCAGTATCTCGTTGAACAATGTACTGATGCAACGACCCCACCCCCCTTCTCCTCTTTTTCTAAATGGGTTATATCAATTTAAAAAAATATATATACATGATTTGCTAAAAAACGGTTAAAGCTTAAAAAAATAATGACGAAGAGTCAGGTGCACACAACGAGTTATGCTCTTCATTTCTCTGTTCTAGTGCTTCTAGCTCCGTTGGCGTCTTTCGTGTTGTCCGGAACTTCTTCGATTTTCTAAGACTTCTTACGCCCCCCCCCTCCTCTCCCGCCCCTCACTCACACCACTCTCTCGTCCTGTCAGAGTGGGACAGTAAATTTAGAGGTCCAGCCATTGAAACCACGATGTAATGTTTTAAAGATAATGAAACTTACACAATGAGGTTAAAGTGAACTTTAGCCCTCTAGATTTAATCGAAAGCTACTTGAACAAATGCAATGCGAACATCTGGGTCTCCTCAACTGTAATAGGAGGTGATTATAGGAGGTTCGGTTCGGTGTCTGGCTGCTTCAGTGCACACTATAAATAAATCCCTGCCGCAAACCGATCGTTCGACTCGCGGCCTTGAAAACAAGCGAGTTTGTTTTGAAGGTCATTGTCGGTTTCGCTCGGTTCGTGCCACAATGGCAGCTTTTGCCCCTCCAAAGATGAAAATCTGGCTTGTCGTGACGACCAAACGAACCGAACCGAAACGAGCCGATCATGCCAATGGGTACCTCCGCAAAGGGACCTTGAACTTTATTTTAAGAATTGAAAATTGAGAGGGGGGAGGGG